GAAATCTTGTTGAAGGTGTCTGGGTAAGAATAAAAGGAGAAAGTATTTCTGGGGAAGATGGGAAATATTCTGAAATAATGGCACAGAAAATACATTGTACAATGTGCTGGCAGTTTAATCACTGGAATGTGAAGATGGTAAGTGGATGAGAATGCTTTTATGAGGTCTCTGTCCAATGAAAGATTCTAACCAGCTTCTTGGTCTCCCAAAATGCTTAGTGAAATGAAGCAACTGAAAAGACAGCCATACCAGTGTTTCTCAAACTTGACAACTTTAAAGATATGGGGAGTTCAGTTCCATAATTCCACCACCATTTTCTGGCAGGTGAATTCTGAGAGTTGATGTCCACACATTGTAATCAAGGTTAACAAACACTGACCTAGACTAATAATGGTTAAAAAAAACCTAGATGTTGATGTGACTTAGCACTTTATTCATGGAGAAGCATCAATCAAAAGAAAATTAAATATATCTTGCTAAGTAACCTAAAATATTGATTAGCTATAGATTCAGCATAAGAACACACACACACACACACACACACACACACACACAAACACAGTGTGTGTGATACAAAATTATGACAAATATATGTTGGTCCCTATTACCATGATAACAAAAAGGATGTTTTAATTTAGATACATCCTACTGTTGATCATATAAACAAGGAAATTTTATCTAACATTTATATATTTAGAATTTGGATGAGAAGAATTTCTTGTATGGATCTTTATTAGATTTTTCTGGGGTGGTGTTAGCCTTTCTGGGCAGACCAGAGAGGAAACACTAAATAAGCTAATCCTACTTATTGTAAAGCTACATTAATAGAATCTTGCAAGTCTGAAAGTACAGCTCTCCTGCCATCTTCTACCACCTGAGAAACTAGGGAAGGTCCTTTCTTAGCCTCTTGCTCTATCCACTATCCAGCTAGGGGCTACACCCTCTTTTATCCTAGGCAGCATCTCTCCATGTCTCCCAAGGTCTTTCCCACATAAGGCACTGGGGGTAGGTGAAATAACATGAATAAAGCACTTCATTATGTATGATTTTAAAAGTTCATTATGAAAAAGCTACAGTTGTAGCTTGCAAGACAATTTCCAGATTCTTTGTGACAATATAGTAAAAGATCAGCATCTGCTAAGAAAATCCACTATGAAATATATTTATATGTCTTTATTGAAAATATTTGCAGAAGACTCATATGCTGTTCTTCTGTTTGCAAGCCTGTTGCTTGATGCTGTGAAATTTTGTTGCTGCTAAATCTTTATCTAATTATCTATCTATGAATGAAATAGCTCATAGGCTGAATCCAATGAAACCATGGTAAATCTGATAAGAATGATGGACGCTTGAGTTGTATTTCCAAATTACAATGAACTTGGCTGACATTGAAGATAAGAAAAAGCAATCAAAATATCCGAGCAACACAATTCTCATACACAGTATATGGGTCCTGACATTTTTTCTTTATTCTTTACACCAAAAGAGATTTTGTCATTTATCTAAGCTTCTTTATTGTACTTCCAATGCAGTTATTTTCAGCTAGTGTTTGACATGATTGTAAACAAACAAAGCTTTAGCTATATTTAGAATCAGCGGTAAGAAATAGTTGAATTACAAAGCAATAATGCAAGCACATTCTTCCTTGGTGACACTATTAAAACTTCTTAAGTGACTCCTTAAATATACTATAAAATAGCTGAATTTAACTGAAGTTCACAGATATGTTTTAACAATATGATCACTAAGAGATGACATTGATTTGTAGATAAAAAAAATAAAGTTATATAGGAAATTCTAATTCCATCTCTTCTTTTGGTGGTTAAGAAAACAATGTTTTTTATACTCGTTTTCTTCTTTCTTTCTTTCTTTCTTTCTTTCTTTCTTTCTTTCTACGATTTTTCTACTTAGATATCTTTTTTGATAGAGAATTCACTAACAAGGTATATACTAAGTACAACTTTGTATTCAGGTACATTATGTTACTTAGGAATTATTTCCATAATTCCATAATACAGCATTAACCTTGTGAACTTTCAAGCTTCCTCCTTCCATTATATATTCAAGATGGACAGTATTTAATATTTATGTGCTATGTAGGGGTGTGGGTCTATACATATGTTGTACATAGTATGTTTAGGTGTGTGTCATGTATGTGTTTCACTTTGAGAGCGGGCAACTAAATTTCATTTTTGATGTGTGCCGTTGTGCCCACAGTAAAATAATAATAATAAAGCTTATCTTATCTCGTCTCGTCTTGTCTCGTTTTGTCTCATCTCATCTTATCTTATAAGCATGGTCCATCTTATCTCGTCTTGTCTCATCTCATCTCATCTCATCACATCTCATCTTATAAGCATGGTCCATCTTGAAACCTCAAACATTTTCTACCTCTTCCCTTGGATTATGAGATCCCTTCCTTTGGGCTTCAGTTTTAGAACTCTGCATGGAATGTGTGTATTTGTGTGTGTGTGTATGTGTGTGTATGTGTGTGTGTGTGTGTGTCCCTATGAACAATCCTGCTGTATTACCAACAACTGCTTTTAAGTTGCAATACACTGTAGGTTTCAATGGGCAATACAAAGCCCACTCAATTTCTATCGTGTTCTGTTCAGTTTGGGTAGGAATAGATAGCTAATATCATCTACATATTGATAATACCTAACCCTATACTGACATATGACATTATCTATTCAATTAATGCAAATACTAAGTAAGATTAAAGAAGGAACTCAGCCATGGTACATGCAATAATTGAGTGACTGTGGGCCTGGTTTCTCCATTTAATCACAATTTGGATCAATCAAGTCAGATTGCAGCAGAATCACCACAATGTTTTCAACCCTTGCAGGCAATTAAAACGGATACTATGTTTGATGGTATATTGACTTGCAGAAGAACAAGGATGGCCATAGTCCCACCATCCACCCCTCACAACAAGCCATTAATGATAGTGGCCAATGCTACTTTTCTAAAGTTAATAGAATATCACTATGGCTTCAGGAACTGCTTCTCAGGAATCATTCTAAAGTTTATTATTAAAGGCAAAAATTCATGTTAACTCCTAATTCCTTATTGCTTGGTCACTAAAGCCTACTTCTCCATTCTTGAAAACTCTTAACATCAGGAACTCTTTGAAAGGGAGGTTTGTCAAAGGGATAATGGAAAAAAAACAACTTTTTACTATATCCTTATGGTCAGTAAGGCCTTTAGAAATACTGCAGTGGTCTAATATTGGAACACTCTGATGAATGGGCAATATTTGTCACTGTTCTGAATGTTGTATTACTTTCTAACAGGTTGATTGAGTATTGATAATTATGTTGAAATATAGAAATACTAGTATGGCAGAAAAGAGATATTATAATCTCAGTTGCAAAAATACCATGAAGGAAGAGAGGCAACAACAACACTAGAAATTTTTGTCCTGTTTTAGATAGCTATTATTATTTTTTCCAGTGATCTAGGTCCAATTACAGATAAAGAATATGCGATCCTCTAAACCTGAACAAAAGTTCTCTTCTTTGACCATGATAGGCAGAAGCTAGTTAATGGTATATATTTCCCTTCTTTAGTCTAGCTTATTCTGAATGGAAGTATTATTTCCCTTTTAGACAGGTGCCCAGGTAGAGCCAGTCTGTGACAGCTAGATACACATGGCCACTGGGCTTTAGACACTTATGTCTGAACCAGATTTAAACACTTGCAGGATTACCTGTGTTGCCACTGTCAGATTGATTTAAGACTCATTTAGCAGAGGGCTATTTAAAGCTGAGATTTTCAAGATGGATTTAAATGAAAGTCCTCAGTGGCATAAAAGCAGGTAGGATGGAATCGAAGTCCCATAGAAAGCATGTTTTAAAAATTCTCTGATCTACTCAGTATAATATTTAGTAATATACTAAACCTATGGAACAGATTCTCCAAATGTACACAGTGTATTCTGAATGTTATCACAGTAAATCTTGGAATCTAAATGATGACCAATGGAAGCACTGGAAATTACTCTTTGTTGCTATGTAGTCCACATCTGGATTTTTGCATCTAATGTTTAATAGCTCTAGTCTGTCAGGCTTTTCTACTCCCAAAATTTACTATGCATCATACTACTGCAATGTTGGTAAGTAGCACTATTAATTATCTTTGTTTAAAGGACACACACACACACACACACACACACACAAACACATATTACTGTAACTCAATTAGATAATCTTTCATTTTAAAAATCTAGATTTGTTTTGACTAAACAATAAAAGGAAATAATTTATGATCAGAAAAGTCATTCTGAATGATGCATCTAAATTACAATTTACAACAAATATAAATTGTACAATGTCATATGTATTACTAAAAAAACCCCTACTGTCTTCAAAAAGACAATTTCCATTAAAACCTGGTGCAATAACACGTATTCAATCTACACTTAATAAATTAACCAATTAATAATAGCAATTTGTCACCAAAAGTTTCCAGTTGTATGGGTGAAGCAAGAAGAAAATTAAATGAGCAATGTAAAAAGTATACGCAATAAAAACAGTATTTGTCATCCAACTCTGAAATAGTTGGCAGGAGGCACCAATACTGATTAAAATTAGGATTATAAATATATTAGTTTACAGAACTCTTTCTCAAATTTTCACTTTTCAAATGAACCTCAATTACTACCAGAATGAATGAAAATAGCTTAAAATTTTGAGACTATACTAGTTTTGGGGTGCCAAACTGAAGTAGGCTGATTTAAATGAAACACATCTCCAGATACACAATCCAGAAAAATTAGTTAAATAAGAAGTAAGAACAGGAAAGATGCTTAAAAATATTTCAGAACTTCACCCACCAACATTGAGATCCCTATTAATTATTCATGGCTATCTATCCTTCATATATGACAACCCCTCTCTCAACAAAAAGGGAGTATTGCTAAAGGAAAAGGGGTAAAAATAATTGGATGAACAAATAATTTTTATTAGAAGAAATTATAAACTAGTTATACTTACCTGATTTGGAGCCATGTAAGCATTGATGTAGTGCCACCTCCTAACACCCAGACTGTGAAGAAGACAATTAGTAAAGTGGTTGTGAACATCATTTGCTTAGGTTGAGATTCTGTGTCCCGAATAGCTAGCGCAAATGCTATTGCACCACGTAGGCCTTCAGAAAAAAAGAAAGGGAAGAGAAAGAACATAAAAATATTGTAAAAAAACTTGGAGAGAAGCTCAAAGTTTCATATATATATATGAAACCTCAGAAAACATATATATATATATATATATATATATATATATATATATATATATATATATATATATATATGGTACAAATAAAATACGAACACCAGGAGAGTATAAATATAAAAATATACTTTACTAAAAGCTGCCAAGCTTTCGTTTGGAAACTCCAAACATCATCAGGGCTAAGGAGCCAGTAAACAATGATGACTTAAATGGGTTTTGCCGGCATCTGCACCCGGCTCATGGACCGCGTCACCGGTCCCGGCCGGTTAATTAGTGTTCCAGATGTTTCTTTATTACTCTCCTTACGCTTCCTTCTATGGTTCTTCCGGATCATTCCTTCCACTATCTCATTACTGGTATTCATCTCCTCCACCACCCCTTTATCCTTATTTCCTTCCATAGCACTGACCCTCCTCCCCTTTTTGTTTTCATTCTCCACCCTGGGGGCATCTGTTTCTCCTCTATCAGTGTTACAAGCTTCCCTGGGCTCACAGACGCTCCCCCCCACACACTTTTCCCAATCCCTGCTCCACACCCTTTCTTCTCACTCTTCCACTGTCATGAGTAACTTTCATACGGGTGTTACATATTTGGGGGTCTATGCCCTCCTCCTCCGTCCTGGCAATCTTCGTGTCGACAGTTCTCCACCATTCCATTTGTTTGCTGCGTGATCGGGTGCTTACCCCGTCTCTCAATTCATCCCTCCTCCCTATCGCACGCTCTTCCCCATTGCTGATAGGAACGGTATTCAGGCGGACACCAGGTCTCCAGATCTCTGCATTCTGATTCCCCGCGTTCTCACTCCCCTCTTCTGTGCTCGTCTTTGGGGGGACTTCAAAGTGTTCGTCCCGGGAGGGGGCTGTATTGTTGGTGGGGGTATTCCTTGTCTGCAGGGAATCCAGGCAGAATTCCGTGTCTCTCCCTTTCACCGTATGCCTAGGCAATCGAGCCATGCTTTCGTTCTTCTTCTCCCCCCTACCCACAGCGTCAGGCTGCAGGCTCCTCATGCTGGATCTTCCACACTCTCCACAGTTGTTGTTAAGTTCTGGGGGTGGGGGTCTATCATGATGATATTGGGGAAGGGGGAGGTCTTCCATCGGTGGATGATTATGTGTGTTTGACAGTGGTAGCCTCCTCAGACGTTCATTAGAGCGGTATTGGTGTTCCTTGTGGCACCCCACTTCGCCCTATCGTGTCATTTATAGGTACCCCTACATCGGGATTAGCGAAGTGGCTTAGCACTCGTCTGGGCCACCTTGTGGAAGGTAGCCCCACAACGGTCAATTCTGCAGAAGAATTCCTCAACAGAATTAAGGCCCTTAGGGTGGAGGATGATGAGAGGATGGTATCGTTCGACATTACCTCCCTCTTCACCTCCATCCCCCAGGACTTAGCTATTTCAGCCCTGGGAGAGCACTTGAGGAATACAAAAGGGAGCCACCACCAGGACTCCCTTCAGACAGATGACCTCCTGCGATTAGTGGAAATATGTCTTACCACCTATTTCACTTTCCAGGGTATCATCTTCGAACAAGTTAAAGGGACACCTATGGGCTCCCCCATTTCTAGCACTATAGCGGAAATAGTACTCCAACAGCTAGAACACAGGGCTATGGCCTTATACCAACCCAAATTTTGGGTTTGGTACGTGGATGACACGTTTGCGGTTGTTAAAAAACAACATGTAGCTACCTTTATGAGAGTACTTAACTCGATCTGCTCCGACATCCAGTTTACAGTGGAGGAAGAAAAACAAGGTCACCTAGCCTTCCTGGACGTGTCAATATACCGTCAGTTGGATGGGACGTTACTTACAGGGGTGTTTCGTAAACCCACCCACACGGACAGAATACTCCACTATAGGAGCAACCACCCCGTATCTCATAAAGCTAGCTGCATTAAAGCATTGTTTAAGCGCGTGGACTCCCACTGCAGCACTGAGGAGTTTAAGAAGAAAGAAAGGCAATACCTTTTCTGGATTTGTCAACGTAATGGGTATCCTTTGAGGTTTATCAGACAGTACGGTCTTACACCCCAGTCCCGGAACAACCAAAAGAGAGAGGAACCATCATTACAAAGAATGCGTGTTTCTTTGCCATATATTAATAACGTCTCGGAAGCAACAGCCAGACTGCTGGCCCCCCATGGAATAGAAGTGGCCCACAGACCCAATCAGACATTACGGTCCAAAGTCGTTCGCCCCAAGGACCCACTCCCTGCCATGGATAGATCAGCAGTAATCTATAAAATCAATTGCAAGAACTGCGATGGCAACTATGTGGGTGAAACAGCTAAGCGTTTAAGATCTCGCTTGCATGAACATCAGTTAGCTATAAGAAGGGGCGAGCAGCATTCTCAATTGTGGATGCATATGGCACAACATGGCCACCAGTTTGACTTTGTGAATGTTCGCGTTATGTCTGAGGATGCCACTAAGGGAGGCCGGCTATTGAAAGAGGCGTGGTATTCCAACAAAGATGCGGTTAATCGTCACATTGACTTACATCCAGCGCAACAAGCATTGAGGAAATGGGATTTTAAACACCATGCCAATTATTATAAGCGGCCTGAACAATGCTTGCACAGCTGTAAACGTGACGGGATACCTGGCCTCCATCCTGAACAGATAGATGGAACTGGCCAACCCTCTACACTCCAGGGACACCCCCGTTTCGCCCGATCAACACCAATACCGCTCTAATGAACGTCTGAGGAGGCTACCACTGTCAAACACACGTAATCATCCACCGCTATAGTGCTAGAAATGGGGGAGCCCATAGGTGTCCCTTTAACTTGTTCGAAGATGGTACCCTGGAAAGTGAAATAGGTGGTAAGACATATTTCCACTAATCGCAGGAGGTCATCTGTCTGAAGGGAGTCCTGGTGGTGGCTCCCTTCTGTATTCCTCAAGTGCTCTCCCAGGGCTGAAATAGCTAAGTCCTGGGGGATGGAGGTGAAGAGGGAGGTAACGTCGAATGATACCATCCTCTCATCATCCTTCACCCTAAGGGTCTTAATTCTGTTGAGGAATTCTTCTGCAGAATTGACCGTTGTGGGGCTACCTTCCACAAGGTGGCCCAGACGAGTGCTAAGCCACTTCGCTAATCCCGATGTAGGGGTACCTATAAATGACACGATAGAGCGAAGTGGGGTGCCACAAGGAACACCAATACCACTCTAATGAACGTCTGAGGAGGCTACCACTGTCAAACACACATAATCATCCACCGATGGAAGACCTCCCCCTTCCCCAATATCATCATGATAGACCCCCCCCACCCCCAGAACTTAACAGCAACTGTGGAGAGTGTGGAAGATCCAGCATGAGGAGCCTGCAGCCTGACACTGTGGGTAGGGGGGAGAAGAAGAACGAAAGCATGGCTCGATTGCCTAGGCATACGGTGAAAGGGAGAGACACAGAATTCTGCCTGGATTCCCTGCAGACAAGGAATACCCCCACTAATAATACAGCCCCCTCCCGGGGCGAATACTTTGAAGTCCCCCCAAAGACAAGCACAGAAGAGGGGAGTGAGAACGCGGGGAATCAGAATGCAGAGATCTGGAGACCTGGTGTCCGCCTGAATACCGCTCCTATCAGCAATGGGGAAGAGCGTGCGATAGGGAGGAGGGATGAATTGAGAGACGGGGTAAGCACCCGATCACGCAGCAAACAAATGGAACGGTGGAGAACTGTCGACACGAAGATTGCCAGGACAGAGGAGGAGGGCATAGACCCCCAAATATGTAACACCCGTATGAAAGTTACTCATGACAGTGGAAGAGTGAGAAGAAAGGGTGTGGAGCAGGGATTGGGAAAAGTGTGTGTGTGGGGGAGCGTCGGTGAGCCCAGGGAAGCTTGTAACACTGATAGAGGAGAAACAGATGCCCCCAGGGTGGAGAATGAAAACAAAAAGGGGAGGAGGGTCAGTGCTATGGAAGGAAATAAGGATAAAGGGGTGGTGGAGGAGATGAATACCAGTAATGAGATAGTGGAAGGAATGATCTGGAAGAACCATAGAAGGAAGCGTAAGGAGAGTAATAAAGAAACATCTGGAACACTAATTAACCGGCCGGGACCGGTGACGCGGTCCATGAGCCGGGTGCAGATGCCGGCAAAACCCATTTAAGTCATCATTGTTTACTGGCTCCTTAGCCCTGATGATGTTTGGAGTTTCCAAACGAAAGCTTGGCAGCTTTTAGTAAAGTATATTTTTATATTTATACTCTCCTGGTGTTCGTATTTTATTTGTACCATAGACATGCCCAGGAGTCGTATTTTTATGCAAATTTTCCAGGATATATATATATATATATATATATATATATATATATATATATTATTTTAGAATGTAGAGTATTACAGATTATGTCCTAAGAAGGGAAATAATTACACAGGAGAGAAATGATTTAGTGACCAAACAAAAGATGGGACATACAGGTGAGACAATAAGGCTGTCACATGTTCCGACTAATGAAGCACTTCAAAGAAATTTCAGGCATGTTTCCAAAAATCTTTATTGCAGAGCTACAGTTTTGCCGGTCGCCATGATGGACTGGTTGATGCCAGAATGTGAACTTCCTTTCGCTGGCATCAAGCTTTCCTTGCTAAACCCCTCCCTTCTCATGCAGTCACAGGTCACATTATCCAATTAGTGAGAAGGTCAAAAGTTTGCTTCCTCTTTCTTTCCCGGGCTTTTTCCCCCGCCCAGTCTAAGCTAAGTATTAACCCAATAAATGCCAGACAGTTTTGCATATTGTCAAAGCAAGAATATACAGTATTTGCAGCATTGACATCCAGCCCCCCTTACAAGAAGGACAGATCCTGTAAAGTAAACAAAAGCATATGTTAAGTGTTATCTTTCGGTTTGCTGGGGTGTTTCACATGAAACCTTTCGATCAATCTGTTGGCATTCACTT